CTTTCCCTAGAGCAAACAGGCAGATTAGCAGGGAATTTCTCATTCAGAAACAGGTAACACACAATAAAAATGGGATTTAAAATCCACAGCTAGGTCATTCTCTTATTTGTTCCCTCTAGCGTCCATTCTCTAATTGTTTAAAGAGAACTAAAAATCACTCAATAAATAACAGTTCTAGAAATGCTTCAATGAAGCAGCAGCACAGCCTGCATTATCTTAGATTTCATCATTGTCCTACAAAGAATAGAGAGAGCTCAGACAAGATTAGTGTTTTTTATATATCAGAAGCAATTAGGTAATACGTTATGTCATAAAATATGAATAATGTTTTACTTGGCACCAAATCGGCTGCATTTTGATTTAGACTAAGAACAAAGAGCCCCACAGAAACAAACACAGCTCTTGCTACACAATGCCCTATAATTGATATGGGGAAGTGACAGTTCACTAAAGTTTAGCAAGAGGAATTGGAGTTAAAGACAAGCTATAATCGAAATGTGTTGTGAGAGTCTAAGCAAATTCCTGTGTGTCTTTCTGCTTCAAATTCTCCACCAGTAAATTGCAATAATTACCTTCCTTCCTAAAGCATTATGAGCACTGAATGAAAAACTGTTTAAATACTGTATCACGTGAAAATTATTTTTGTCATATTTACTAAAACAAACAAACAGAAGACAGAGTGACCACAGTTAGTCAGTGCTATCTCTTCAGGATTTGGGCAGAAACTTCTCAGAACTGTAGTCACGGTTCTGCTTTAGAAGTCATCGACTTCTCCTGTAGTCCTCATGTCAAACACCAGAATATCCTTGCAACAAGAGTGATGCCAAGGCAACTGCTCCGTTGCTTCAGCAACATGATAAATTCTGTTACTGAACACTGGTCTTTTTCCCTTAGATAACAAATCTGAATGAAATTCAACAAATTCAGAAACTGCTGCTCTTGGCACCCTATGGCACATACAAGAAGCTTGTAAATAAGAAAGTGCTCCAAAAAGTCCTGCCAGTCTCAACACCCTGTTCCTCCCAAAAAGGATAGCAAATGAAGTACACCACAATTTAACAGTTCATCTGTGTGAGAGAAAACTTCCATGCGTGTGTTGGCAATTCCCTGAAGCAATTAAACAGAACATTCAGAGAAGAGAAAGCACTCTGCAGTGTGTCTTACCTTTGGTAAAAAAATATGATCGTGTCCCATCTTGTCTAACATAAAAGTTTTCTCCAAGTTTGCTGCCAGACTTAAACCTCAGCATTGCATGATCATACAGTCCATAGTCTCGGAACAAGACACACCTGCCTGGTTTTAATACCTGCCACATAATACATATATGCTTTAATAAGGTAAATGGAGTTAGCCTTATATTTCTATGTATTTATTCAGATACATATACAGACACATACATATAACTAAAACAAGGTATCAATACAGATGATGTCTTTATAGAACTAATTAATTCCCTGTGTAACAAAAATATTGCATATGAACTGGATTGTCTGTCCACTCTTAAAAATGCTTCCCTGTGAACAGTAGGCTACACATAGTTTCAAGGCACCTGTTTGGGTGCTACTCAGCTAGAAAAGCTTTTTGCAACACACTTCAAATACAGAGGAAAGAAATTTTTATTGTTAAACTGTATATTTAAGTCCTAACAGGGTATTTTCTCTGTAGATTATTATACAGTCCAGCACCTTGTTTTGCTTAATGATTAACAATAACATTTAGAATACATATCTTTTTTCATGCAAGAAAGAAAGATGTTGCAATACAGTAAGAAATAAAAAATAACCATTTCAGAAAAATGGGTTGTGGGGTTTTTTAGTTGTTCTTTGGTAAAGAAATCAAGCCATAAAGAGTTTAAAAATTAGAAATACATGGTCATTGGCCATGCTGACTTTAGATATTTTATGTATGCAACTTTCCCACCTCATCAAATACCAGAGGTATTTGTTAAAGGAGAAAAGCAGTACTGGCCACTTGCACTTCTGGGTAGAAACCTACAAGCAAGTTAAACGAGCCAGGCATCTCTACAGAGAAAACAACAAGTAGCCTTTTCATGTGCATGAGCTAAGAACCAACCCTAACTTTGGAAAACAGCTGGACATAAACCAAAAATCTAGCATTCCTTTTTCAAGCTACCAATGGTAAAACAAACAGGATATCTGGTAATAAAAAGCCCAAATACATACGTAAATAAAAAAGCACATTGACTGTTTCCCTCTGCAGTCAATATATGACATCTCAGGGAAATTAAGAACAATTACAGTTCAGATTATTTAAACAACCACCTAGATGGGCCTATCCTGGTCTATAACCTAACAAAGGCAGCCCAGGGAGATGAGTCTCTCTAGATTACTGTTAATCTCTGAACACCCCACTTCTAAATCACTACAGATCAAGGGTGTTTAATAACAAAAACATCCTGCAAGTCTCTCTAACTTCTGGAAGTCAATTTTGGTTCACTGTCATTCAGACCTTATCAACACAGGTATTTCTGCAATCCATAAGCATTATTTGTTAGCATACAACCTAGGAGCCCAAGTCACAACTTCAAGACACCTTTTTGTTAAGTCACACATTAAGCCAAAATCCAAACAACTTCACAATACCAAGAGAGAAAAAAACCCGCTGTATGAGTCCCATATTCAGTGTGAACCAACTAAAAACATCCATGCAATACAGTATTAAAGATCACCATTACAAGAGGGGTTATTTTCTCAGATAAAGGGATGTATTTTCAAGCTAAAGGGAAGGAAAATGCTTTAAAGGCTGTAAAATCAGCTGTTTTTACCTTGTAGATGTTCTTCAAGACAAGATGCATTTTGTCAGGATGAATGGCAGAAAGCACAAATATAAGTGTAATAACATCCACAGAATCTGCTGGTATATTTTCTAGAAGATCATCTTTGGTAAGATCACACTGGAACACTTTACATCTTTCAGTACTGTATAAGGCATTTTTCTAGGGAAATGAGAAGAGTATGTTTTCACTTAAAATTAGCAGTAATTATTATTGCAAAAGAGTAAAATGTGAAAAAGTAAAAAACCTCAAACAAACAGTAAAGTGACAAGAAACACGGTTGCAAAAGAACATTAACTTGCAACAGGTAACTAATGGCAATCAGAAACTCTTTGCTGCATCTTCAGTGGTGAAACTACAGACAAGCATAGTCTGCTCTCCAGTACTTGAGAAAGAATGTGTGTTAAGGTAGTTCAGAAAACATACAATTTCTGTTATACCACTGCTTCTACCCTTCAAAAGTACAGAAATAGTATTCAAAGAGGTTCTGTATCACAAAGTGATCAAAGTACAACTCCTGAGCTACAAGCAGACTGTGAACAGTTGGGGTTCATGTCACTTAACCTGCAGCTGGGCTGTTTTAGACAACAGTTTTGCTGAGTAAAAGGAAACTGGTCTTTGCAAGAGCTGTGGTGGCAGGCACCATCTCAACTAATCCAGAAGCCAGGGTACACACTCAGCCCAACCTCATCTTGCCGTGCAGTTGTGGCATCCCAGAGAGCCGCTGTCCTCTCCTGTTTGCCACACTACTTCTTCCCACTTTCCCATAAGACGGGCACTGTGTGCCTTGTGGTTCTCAGTCAAAGATGTCCCACGAAAGAATGCTTTCAAATAACAGGTATAAAGAAATTTACCTCTAATTACAAACTTAATAAAAGAGGGGACTTTTAAAGCCCCAATCCCCCACCAGCCTTTCCTGGAAGGCTTAATTTTGGACTGCAGTACCACCTACTTATGAATAAGCATAAATATACCTATTTCTATGCAGGCTACAAATATTCTTAATAATTTTCATAGCCCTGTTTCGAAGGTTCTCCTCAGGACTCTGCTCACAAATATCAAGGGAAAACTTCCATCCCAAACAAATTTTCTTGTACTGCGCGATCAGCAGAGACATAGTCAGTGCACCCAAAAAACATAGTCTTCCCAAAACATTCAAGGAATGTACATATATTACCATGTAACAATTTGACATCATAAAACTAGGTCTTGAGCAATTATTTGGCTTCTTGCATAGGAGCTCCAGTGAAATCAATCAGTCTCCACTTTTTGGCAAAAGCTATTTTACCCTTCTTACAAAAAGGAAGCCAAGAGAGGTCTGCAGTTCCTGTCATTTGTAATTTCAGAAGCTTCTGAAGACACTCGAAAAGAAGTTTCAAATATCACACCAACCTTCACATACTCAACAGCTCTGGGAGAGAAATCACAGGCATATGCAAAAATATTCAGGTCTTCTTCTAAGAGTGGAAACAAGCAGTTCCCAACCCCACAGCCTGCTTCCAGAATGGTCAGCTTCTGATCTGCAAACTGGGGAAGAAGAAATCCATGATAAATCACATAATTTTTGTTTTCCTCATGATATGAGCAGAGACACTGTTCAATCAGCATTTGAAAAGCTATAACCAATTTTAATTACTATGGATTCAAAAACAGAAGTAGGCATCAATTGGATAATCTGACACTACAAAACAGAAACACCGATTCTGCAAAATTACAAATCTTTTGAGAATATATTATTTCTTTACTCATCTACCCCTTCAGTAATCAACAGACTGTTGTATCATTTCTGTCTTGTCTTTCATTCATCTATAATGAACAACAGATGTATCTGGCTATTCCCCTTAATGATGTTTTGCAATTAGCCTGTAATTCTGGATGCTTTTCTTTAGTGTTCTGAAGTGCACAAACTTGCAGCCGAAAACATCACATCACAGACAGATAACTTGTTTATTCAGGACACAAAAGAAATATTCCAGATTTAGTTCTTAGTATCTAGTATAGGTCAATTATAAACTGAAACCGAATTGATGCAACCGATTCTGAGGAGGTGTCTTTGATATTAAGAGAGACTACATAGGGCACTGCAAACTTAACATGTGACAGTTCTTACCGTAATGGCTCTGTTAGAAGTATTATTAAATCATCTGGAAACAATACATTTTACAGAGGAAGTGCATAGATCTCACCTCCCGACATGCTTTTAACTCTTGAAACTCTCTGGTTGTCCAATGTCTGTCTTTAAAGAAGTTGGTGCTGTTTCTTTTGTAAAATAGATCCCAGTTCTTCTGTGCCTCTTTCTCCAGTTTTAGTTGTTTGAACTCAGACACCAAAACCTGATCTTTTTCCAGTCTCTCAGCTTCTTCTGGACTAAGGATTCTTGCACTATGGCCTTTTTTTTGGAAAGTACCATCTTCAGTAGATGTTGTTATTACATTTAAGCAACTGGATGATGTGTTTTCTTGAAACATCCTATATTCTTTCACACAGATATGAATGCCAAAGATATGACAGTTGGTTTTTTTTTCTTTATTGTATATTTCCATCATTTAACATAGGTAAAATAATTGCAGCTCTAGAAGCAGGAAAAAAAATGACAAAGAGTTACAGTATGCACTTACAATTTTACAATGACCTGTCCCACGTGACAGACTGCAATGCCACCAAATTTATCTTAATTTCAGAAATCCTCCACCCAAACTAGTAACTGCATACGACATCACACTGATGTCAACAAGAAAGAAGATGATGCTCTTCCCTCTGCATCCCATAAAGCTACCTAACAGGAGAAAGATGGTACAGCTCTAAGCTTATTTTCACTAAAACTGACTGTGAAAGGAAAGCAAGAGCTTTGTTTCTTATTAAACCTGGTTAAAACACCTCAGAGAAATCTAACTGAAAATCAGGTGACACTTAAAATGCCCATTAAAGTTGATGAAACAGACTGTATTCATGTTAGTATTTCTCCTCCCTACTCTCACTTCTGTAAGAAAACACTGGTGAAAACATCAGCATTTAAAAGAGCACATCACTTGTACAGGAGAGCAAAACCAGTACCATGGCTAAAATTCCCATAGCTGGCCTGTATTAGCACTGCTTCCACTGCCTCCTCCTGAGGATTCACACTGGCTTTAACAATCACATGTGATTTTACTTTTAGAAGTTAACAAAAATGGAGCAATGAAAAGAGTTCTGCGTAGACTGGGAAGGGATCCAAATCTCCTCCGTGCTGTTAAACTAGTTCTGACCTCTGCCTTGCCACAAACACCCAGGTCCCGAAAGCTGGCACATGTGAATGAAATCCTGCACAGATCAGTAACTCCTAGGGAAGCCCAGGCAGCCAAAACGTGCCATTCATGTACAGCAGCACCCAGAACCCAGCACTAGTGTCATTTCACCAAATTGGAAATGAGAAAAACCCAACAATGCCCAGCCAAAAGAAAAAAAAGGAAAAAAAAAAGTAATAAATTAGTACTTCACTTAACATATTCTAACTTACATGATACAAACATGCACATAAAATACAAACGTATGCAAATGAAATAAAGAACCGTCAACATTTTCTACAGCTTAATGGGAAACAGATGCTTTTTTTTCTTCAAAAACAACGGAAAAGGCGACAGAGAACACAGGGATCACAGAACCATCCTGGTTGGAAAAGCCCCTTGGGATCACCGAGTCCAACCATCACCCCTACTCTACCAAGTTCTCCCCTAAACCACATCCACCGCCAACATACCCAGGGACGGTGACTCCACCACCTCCCTGGGCAGCCTGTTCCAGTGTCTGACCACTGTTTCTGTGAATGTTTTCTCCTCCCGCCCAGCCTAACCCTGCTCTCTCGCAGCCTGGAGCCCTTCCCTCTGGTTCCATCTCGAATTCCCTGCGAGAAGAGACCGGCACCAACCTCTCTGCAACCACCTTTTGGGCTGCCTGGAATGAAAGCCCCTTCAGAAAGAGCAGATCCTCAGCAAATAACTTGTCCAGCAAAGGTCCTACCTGCCTGGCACGCTACAAAGAGCTCAACGCTTGCACCTCCTCACAGGACAAGCCACACGAGAGCAAAGCCCAGCTCGGCCATTCACCACCCAGGACACGCCGCGCTGGGAAGGGCCGCACGACGATCAACACGCCTTTTAACACCCTCCGTTCGGCCTAAAGAGCCTTTAACCAGGTGTTCCACGCAGCCCTAAGCCCGCACACAGACCGTACCTCGGGTGCAAGGCCCCGGCCTCCCCGCAGGGACACCCACCGGCCTCCCTCCCTCCCGCAGGGACACCCACCGGCCTCCCTCCATGTGAATGAAATCCTGCACAGATCAGTAACTCCTAGGGAAGCCCAGGCAGCCAAAACGTGCCATTCATGTACAGCAGCACCCAGAACCCAGCACTAGTGTCATTTCACCAAATTGGAAATGAGAAAAACCCAACAATGCCCAGCCAAAAGAAAAAAAAGGAAAAAAAAAAGTAATAAATTAGTACTTCACTTAACATATTCTAACTTACATGATACAAACATGCACATAAAATACAAACGTATGCAAATGAAATAAAGAACCGTCAACATTTTCTACAGCTTAATGGGAAACAGATGCTTTTTTTTTCTTCAAAAACAACGGAAAAGGCGACAGAGAACACAGGGATCACAGAACCATCCTGGTTGGAAAAGCCCCTTGGGATCACCGAGTCCAACCATCACCCCTACTCTACCAAGTTCTCCCCTAAACCACATCCACCGCCAACATACCCAGGGACGGTGACTCCACCACCTCCCTGGGCAGCCTGTTCCAGTGTCTGACCACTGTTTCTGTGAATGTTTTCTCCTCCCGCCCAGCCTAACCCTGCTCTCTCGCAGCCTGGAGCCCTTCCCTCTGGTTCCATCTCGAATTCCCTGCGAGAAGAGACCGGCACCAACCTCTCTGCAACCACCTTTTGGGCTGCCTGGAATGAAAGCCCCTTCAGAAAGAGCAGATCCTCAGCAAATAACTTGTCCAGCAAAGGTCCTACCTGCCTGGCACGCTACAAAGAGCTCAACGCTTGCACCTCCTCACAGGGCAAGCCACACGAGAGCAAAGCCCAGCTCGGCCATTCACCACCCAGGACACGCCGCGCTGGGAAGGGCCGCACGACGATCAACACGCCTTTTAACACCCTCCGTTCGGCCTAAAGAGCCTTTAACCAGGTGTTCCACGCAGCCCTAAGCCCGCACACAGACCGTACCTCGGGTGCAAGGCCCCGGCCTCCCCGCAGGGACACCCACCGGCCTCCCTCCCTCCCGCAGGGACACCCACCGGCCTCCCTCCCTCCCTCCTGCAGGGACACCCACCGGCCTCCCTCCCTCCCTCCCTCCCGCAGGGACACCCACCGGCCTCCCTCCGGGACACACACCG